CATTAACGACCGCTTTTAGAACCTATCTCCCCGCCATCTTTGCGTAATAACATCGATTCGTTTCTGTCGTCGTTCGACCCGGGATCCCTCGTGAGAAATTACGGTGATTGCGATGTTAAGTGGACGAGAGGATTTGAGAATTGATCGATTATTTATTCGCTACGAGTTTGGAAATTTTTTGGTTTTAAGGAAGTTCGAGGGAAAGTTTGGTCGTTTAACAGCATTGATTATTCACTTTTTAACCCTTCAATGTAGAAGGTTTCTTTCAGTTTTCCAGTAGAATATTTTTCTCAACGAGTTGACGAGCTTAATCTAAGTTAGAAATTATGTTTTCTAAGAATATTTATTATTTCAAACTGTGCATTGTAGAAATTGAATTTCGTCAGTTGTTTTTGTTGCTGAAAAATACGCGACTTTGCATTTCATTTGCGTTCATAATTTTTCGTGAAGGATTTATGTAAGTCCATCAAGGGGTTAATCAAAGGGTTGAAGATTTCAAACGGTACGAGCCTCTTTGGTGAATGGTGAAGCGAACAAAAGGGCTCTGGACAATTGCCTCGGCCTCGAAGTCAGAAAGCTGTAGGTCTGCACGAAAATAGGCACGGTGAAATTAATCGTTCCCTTGGCGTATTCGTTCACGGTGTAAGCACAAGCTGCTAACAGGACCTTCTTCTCGAGCACCAAATCGATCACTTCTCGTGGAATCTTTCTCGTGTTCGACATAGTCATGTCGTCGATTTTCTATGAAAAAAAAAAACGAAAAAAAGATTGAACACAACCAAGGTTAGAAATAAAATGTAAAGAAGATCGTGCGTGGAAATGCTTACCTCGCCAAGCTTGGCGAACCGAGAAGTATTCCAAGATCTCGCAGTTCGGCTCACTTCCGGTGCAATTACCGTGTAAGTGAAGTTCAACTTCTTACTTAGATATCTAACCACATCGAACACCAATCCTTCGTACGATTTTTCCCCTATCTCGCTTACGGTGCTTATCTGCCACGGTGGATTCTAAAATCAAATGTTTCGTTAATCGATTATTCATATTAAATCGAAGATGAAGAAGTTTCGGGAGAAAATTTCGAACGAAAATCGAGAAAATTAATTTTCAACGAAGAAAATAAATTTCCTAGTGTTCCAAAATTTCTACGATCGTTTGCTCGCGTGAGATTCCAAATAAAAATGAAGAAAATTAATTTTCAACGAAGGAAACAAATTCCCCAATGATCGAAAATTTCCACGATCGTTAGCTCGCGTGAGATTTCAAATAACAATTGAGAAAATTAATTTTCGACGAAGAAAATGAATTCCTTAGTGATCCAAAATTTTTACGATCATTTTTACCCACGTGATAGGTCGCGATCGGTAAATTAATGCCCCTAAATCCATGGGCAATGTGTGGAAAAATCACGTCCGTAAGATTAACTCCCAAATTAGGCGTCCATACGCCTATATCCAACAGGTGAGCCTCGTTTTTCCCATGGGAAAAGAAATTTCCCCAGGTTATAGACGAAGAGAATCTCCATAACAGGCATCGTCCGCAGACAACTTCTGAAGCAAACGTGTTTTGGGATAGGTGTATCTGACGGAAACACAGTTGCGATTTTAGTTCCGCTAACAGGTACCCACGCTGTTTGAAAACGTGTACAAATTACTGACTGTGATGTTATTCAGGATCTCCCTTCGCCTCTCACGTTTCGTCAGTTTGATCAGGTCGAAATCCTCGTATCCCACCTTCCTCAGGAGATCTATCTCGTTGATCATGGAGTATTGTAGAGCTTTCAGCAAGGCTTGAATGAATTCCTTGATGTAACATATCAATTTCGTCTAGAAAATGGAATCTTTCAACAATTATTCGAATATAGGAAAAATTGAACGCGAACTAAAACGAAAAATCACAATTTTTATCTCTTATCGCGCTCAAATATTCTAACAATTATTCGAATATAAAAAAAACATTAAACGTGATTTGTTCTAGTAAGTTAAAAAATCGCAACTTTTACTTTTTGTGGCACTCCGATAAATATGTGTTTAATTATGAAACAAAAAAAGCAAATGGATCACGTAACTTATTCAATGACAATAAAACAAAAAATCACAATTTTCATTTTTCTTACACTCGAACTTTAAAAAAAAATGATACAGAAAATATTAAAAAAAAATTGAATGGAAATGTAATTTATTCGACCAATTTTCATTCTTCGTATCACTTTAAAGTAAAAACTGCGACAAATGAAGTGACCCTAGCGCCTAATCCTCTAAGAATATTCGATCATTACTTCGCAGAAGTTCTCAAAATCGGTCGCGTTGTACATGAAGGCGACGTTTCCACCTTCACCCAGCAGATCCACAAACGTCGTCATATTTGTCACGTTCTGCATCGCGCTATCGGTGATCACGTACAACCACTGGCTACTTGGATGTACCATCTTCAACGATCTCGCCTTTAAAGAAGAATTTCAACCTAAGAAACTTCTTCAAGCCCCTGACAATTGATTTAAACCAGAAGAAAAAAAGCGATCGATAGAAACAACGATAGATCTCACAACGTCCATCACATCCGCGACCATGTCCGCAGTGGCGATCACCAGGAAGCAATGACCGAGTTGATCCACGTGAAAATCGTGTAAAATCTTCCTCACGGAGTTCTTCCTACTTCTTTCCGTGTCGTCGTGTTTCAACGTGAATATAGATCTCGAAACTAGGTTCAATTTCCTGTTAGGTAGGTTGTCCGAGATTGCCTTTATCACACGACTAATTGTGTCTCTGTCTGAAATTGTAATTGTAAAAGATAAAAGTTTGTTGAACTGGAAAAATTTGTACGAGGTTGTTAGAGAGAGGTATTGGCTGGTTTTATCACCGAATGTATCATCGTGAAGGATGTTAATCACGTTCCATGAGAGAACATTCGTCATCCTCAGGTCGAGGAAGATCTGGGACAGCTCTTCTCCTGGGACAATGAGTGGCACGCTTATTCCATCGCTATCGGGAAATCGAGGACAGTCTGGATCTAGAAATGGAGGATGTGATAATTGGAACTTTCTATAAATCACTCGATTGTTTCGTTGGAATCGTTGAAAAATATGTATAATCGATCACCGGGCAATTTATCTTCGCAATGTTTCTTTGAAATACCTATCTTAGAAATATTCGATCACCAAGGAACTTATTTTCTCAATTTTTATTATCACCAAGGAACTTATTTTCTCAATTTTTCTTTGACATACCTATCTTAGAAATATTAATTTTTGTTTGAAATATCTTAGAAATATTCGATCACTGAGAAACATATTTTCTCAATTTTCCTTTAAAATATTCTACAAACACTCGATTTTTCTTAAATTCATCTTCTCGTTTACCTGTTATAGCGAAATGTATAAGCTCCTCCTTTCGTGCAGCCTCGTGGAGCCTCCACGTTATGTAGCAAGCCGCCACAGACAGAAGGATCGTGTAATCTTCACAGATACAAATAAACAAGAAAAATGAAAATATTGTTAAATCAAAGATATTTCAAAACGAAGAAACTTACCTTGTCGCAGATTAATGTTCACGTCGCGGAAAACACGCACGACGATTCCTCCTACGTGCATCTCCTTTTTCACGGTGTTTACAATGAAATCTTGCACCGCTCCCATCGCGTTCTTATGCTCCTCTTTGTTACCGAAGAAGCTCTTATCGATGACCACTGCTGCTCGTAACAAAAATTCCCCTTTTCATTCAGCAAATCTAATTCCGTGATTTTTCTCAAATTTTCGTTTCTCTCCACGAAAAGTAATCGAACTCGTTTACCCATGGTTGTGTTCGCCGTGACCGTAGATGGGTAGTCGTTGAAACTGTCCCCATAGTTGACGTTGAAGAGCAACAACAGTACCGATATCATTTCTATTGACAAACTGGAATAACAGGCGGGCTTTGTATCTGTCCGTACGATATATAACCGAGGACACCTGTGAATAATGTATCACTTCATTAGTTTCGCCGATCGGATTATTACAAGCGGAACTGAGCGCGATCACGAGCGTCACGCCGTTCTGCCTTTAATGCAACTCGATGCACCGCGAATCGCAGGAAAGGTCAGTTCTTTAATAACTAACCAGGGAACACGATCGAATCCCCGTGTGGAATTGGAACGGGACATTGTTTAGCCTACTTGCGTGCGCTATCGAGCTGATCAAGTGATTCAGACCAGAGCTTTTTAATATTCGAACACATATACGACTCCGGCAAACATTTCAGATTTAACCCCCGTACACTTTGTCATTTATTTCTCGATCACCGATAACACCTCTAGCTTTAACCTCGTTAACTGGCTCGTTTTCCGATGGGAAAATTACGAGGCGAACAGTTAATTAACTGCTTTTGAAAAGATTTCTGGTCGCTGCATTTTTTGGGATATTTTTTAGAAATTTTTTATATGTAACAATATCGTGTGAATCGAATCGGCCCAAATTGGCCTATGGGATTAAAGGGGTTAACGAAGAGATGGTGAAATTAATAAACTTTGCTTTGGTGCTTCAAAATTTCTAAAAATCTTTAAAATTGAAATTTAAAAATTTTTCGTTTTATTAAATTATTGTGGAAGCGCGCAAAGGGTAAAAATTAGGGACTGAATTAAAATGAGAGTGTGCGAAAAGTCGCCAAAGGCACAGCGCGAGAAAATATTCAAAACGCCTATAGGCGCCAAGGACACGACGCGCGAAAATATTCAAAACGCCTATAGGCGCTAGGGACACAGCGCGCGAAAATTTTCAAAACGCCTATAGACGCCAAGGGCACAGCGAAAATATTTTCAAAGCGCCTATAGACGTCAAGGACACAGCGAAAATATTTTCAAAGCGCCTATAGGCACCAAGGACAGCGCGAAAATATTTCCAAAGCGCCTATAGACACCAACAACAGTGAATGGTTAGCACGAAAGCACGTGCGTTGAGGTGAAAATTATTACTCGATAGTTTTATACAACGCTGTCACCTAAAGGTGCGTGCACACAGGTTTCCCTCTCTAACCCCTTTCGCGAACGAATTGACTCACGAATTGATTTTTATCCGAATCTTTGGACGAGATATCGTTTTTAGGACGAGTGATTCGATCGATAATGTAGAAATGTAAGTCGTACTACGTCGAGATATCAAACTGAATTTCGAACATCTTCCGAGAAGTGTCTTCGATCCGTTCTGCATACAAGACATCGACGAGTAATGTTGTTACCTCGTCCACACGCGTTTGTCACTGACAAGAGACAATTGTATTGTTTCATATCGGCTGGTGTACCACTTCCGTGTAGCGAAACCAAGAGATAAAGCTTGGTGGCGTCGGTTTGCATTATTCCGACCTACGCGTTTGTCGTCGTTAATAGGAAAAATCAGCCGCGATTTTATTCTTCATCGTAGAAACGTTTCAGATTCCTTTCTTCCGTTCCATTCTTTCTCCCCACCTTCCAATCCGACGACTATATACACGAAAGGAAATGATCGTAGGCTTTTATTTTTGTAGAACTTTTATTTTCCATGATATTCTTACATTTTTTACGATACATTTGTAAGTAAAAAATCAACTACAATGCGTCGATAATTAAAAATCTACCGGTGGTAAATGAGAAAAAGAAACGTGTACGATTGTCGCTTAGAAACGGAAGTCGTGTCACAACGCTTATCTACGGTTAATTGTAAATTCCCCGTATCGAAGTAAAACACATACTTTGCACGATTCAAATTACCTCCCCGGTTTATATATCGATTACACTCTGGAATTCCATACGTCAGAGAAGGAGATTCGGTATAATACAAACAATGAGCGACGTATGATAAAAAAAATTCGATGCAATCAATGTTAGAAGTAAAACGGCGTTGAAATAACAAGAGCGAGAAGGCGCGAGAGTTATCTCGGGAATAGTTCGCGCTTCTACGTCCGTTCGTGACAGTTCGGGTGAGATCGTACGACGTGCATGCCTCTATTACTCGGCAGCAGTCGGCTCCGAATGCGTCGGAGAAGCATGTAGGAACTGTATGTTTTGTGAACATATACATCTAACAGGACGTATTCGCACGACACGTACACATAAGAGCGCGCGAACCGAACGATCTTTTTTCTCTCCCGGAAATCTGGTCGACGTTGAACGTCGGGCTCGAAGCTTTTGTGAAATGTCAAGCACCGTACATTATGATGGGTTGAATGTGTTCGGGAAAACTGTCAGACTGTTGGCGAACGATAGAGCACGAGTCGAAAGCAGAGGCGAACCAGTGAGAGGAATAGCACGGACGGGGAAAAGTGGGAGTGAAAGTGGAAAAATTCGCTTTTTCGAAATTACAAGGGGAACAAAGGCACGCTCTTAGTGACACGTTCAGCTGCTGATGTTTCGCGGGAACGATGGAGCCCGAGGAACCTCTGTTACAAGGGATCCTGCTGTTACCACCGCAGGGAATGTTAGGCCAACTCAAGGTTGGTTAACTTCGACACGGATCAACGGTGTATTTCAAGCTCTCGCGATCTGTTGGTGATCAAATTGCCTCTAGAATTTATTTCACTCGAATTACATTGATAAATCGACACGTCCATCGATTGAACTATCCGTTATCGATGATCGTCACCGAGGAATAACCTAAAAACTATGCGCGATTATGTACCAGACATTTTAGGCGCGTGCAGCTCGACGCTGAATCGAGCACACACGTCATTTTTGATTCATATGAAGGCGACTTTTGAAATACGCAAAATCCGTGTATCTCTTTTACTTTTTAAGAAGGAAATTGCAGCATTAAGGGACAATTGTCTCCTTTCTTTTTTTTTTTTTTTTTTTTTTTTTTAAAAATTT